AATTGAAACCAAGCATCACCATGGTATCTCCACACTTTTTTTTGCTAAGCACTGGAATTTGTAATAGTGTCTGTAAATAAGATTTTGAAACATTTTCCTGAGTTTATTCAAACATCAGTGCATTTGTGTTTCAGTGTGGCGTGATTTGTGCAACAGGTGTCATATCTGTGTAAGGCTTGTACCTGTGTGTGTGAGTGAGTCAGAGTCTTACTGTACCTCACTTGTTACTTTCTCAGTTGCACTGGCTTCCTGTTGCGCGACGGTTGCCGTTTCCATGGCGATCGGCCTAGCAGCAGAGCAGAGAGGAAATGCACAGTCAGCGCTCTGTAGATTAGTGATGGGATGTTCGGATCATTTTACCGACTCGGACCTTTGAGTCTCGTTCAGCAAAATGAACGAATCTTTTTCCGAGTCATTTCGTTCATTTTAGCAAAATATAATTAAAATGTTACGTGTTACTTCCCTAATATGTCTACTACTTACGCAAACGTTGGTCACACTACAAACAATACCAAACTGGGTCTTCAGTCTATGATTAGCTCGCCTCACCTCTTATCTGACGAGTCTTCGGGTTTGGGCTTATGGGGCTGTCACGTGATGAACGAACGACTCGGAAAAACCCGAAGACTCGAACCAGGTGAACTACTTGACTAATTCCAGTACAGAACCTACAGGATGTTGCGCATGCGCGACTGAACGAATCACTCCCCGAGACGACTCGTTCTTCCCGAGTCACATTAAAGATTCGTTCAAAACGAACGACCCAACACTACTGTACGTCACGAGATTTTAAACGGCCGACTGCATCCATCATTTTAACCCAATGTTTGCCAGGCTAGTAGTTCAAAATGTGATGAACAAAAAAAACTAGACTACTTGACTAATTCCAGTACAGAACCTACAGGATGTTGCGCATGCGCGACTGAACGAATCACTCCCCGAGACGACTCGTTCTTCCCGAGTCACATTAAAGATTCGTTCAAAACGAACGACCCAACACTACTGTACGTCACGAGATTTTAAACGGCCTACTGCATCCATCATTTTAACCCAATGTTTGCCAGGCTAGTAGTTCAAAATGTGATGAACAAAAAAAACTATTCTACATTTGTGAGTGTTCGTGTTGAAATGTTCATGCATTTGTGAAACATGTGAAGCAGCTGCTTGTTTTGCACAGTGGGGTTTTTCATCTGCTGACAGTGTAAAATGGACGTTTTACCCTCAGCTCATGTTATTAGATGAAATATCAGCTTTTCCTAATCTTATGAAAAATGAACAATGCATGACAAATTTATGGTAAAACAGAGGATCAAAGCTTTAATAACGTTTACTATTTGGGTTTGAGTAGGTAAGAGAACCTATCAAAATAACTTGATAAGTTAACTTAATATCTATTATAATTCTGGTGGTTTATGATTAAAAATGAACTGAAAACAAAAAACACTGAGCGAGCATAACGGCCGCGTGCACTTCCTCATTCTGTCTAAACGATTCCAGAGCGCAAACTTCTCAGTTAGTCGAGATAAGCAGACTCATACAATTTATGAGGAAACATGTTTTACTCCATTGCTTTAGTATGCGGAGATTATTCCATCTAGTGTTGAGTTAAGGGTGTTCGCTTAACTTCTGTTTCCTCGCTGGATTGACAGAACAAACGCGCGCAAACTTTGAACAGCTCGCGCTTATGTAACAGCAAACGGTGGCACGAGGATATTACATGCATTACTGCAACATTCATGGGTTTACAAATAAATACAGAACAGTGGTAAAGCAACTCGCAACAAAGTGTTATGTTCTACTGTATTTATTTGCATAGTCCTACACCAAGCTGCGTCATTCTCCACAACCTCAATGAAGTTTTAATATCTCCAGCTCTACATTTAACTTGACCTTTTTGCTTTGTGACTCAGATTATATTTCAGAGTAAATCAGATTATTAATGTAAACGCTCAGAGTATGAAATCTGCGCGCTTTTCGTTATTCGCAGGTTTATTTTCTTGTCAACAGTAGTTTAGCGCTGGTTACACCAGGAACCGCGTCCTAGACAGCTTCGCCTCGCTGCACATGTTATATTGAGAAACTAATTTAACAGCAGCTACATGTTCGTCTTCCTGCGCTCATCTCCAGATCCTCTCTGGCGGCAGATCGACATGCCAGCAATAACTTACCCGACTTTTACGTAGCGTCTCGTCACTCGTTACGGGTGCAGAGGAAGCCCGACTCGCTGCACACGTAGAGCCCACGTCAGCTCTGATGATGCGTCTGGGAAATGTGGACTTTGCAGCCGGGGGCCCCAACAACACACACACACACACACACACACACACACACACACACACAATCACAGAGTGGGCGGAGCCGAGGGGCCGCTGTCACTCACCAAATGCCCTAAACGGTCAATTTGATCAGAGACTTGACTTCCGTAATGCATTAATGCCTTTGAGGCTTCAATTTCATGATACTAGTTAATCGAACTTAATTGTAAACAAATCGTTTCAGACTTATCAGACTTACCACAAAGATTCATAGAAACAACTTTATACTCTAAAAAATAAATAATAAAATCATCTGCCATTTATTAAAAAGAAGCTTAAATGTAAATCAAATATAAATACAGAAGTTTGATAATATAGCGCCATCTTGCGATAGAAGAATATAATTGTTTCTCAGTTGTCACAAATGTAATACAATGTGTAGATAGATAGATAGATAGATAGATAGACAGACAGACAGACAGACAGATAATAGATAGATAGATAGACAGACAGACAGACAGACAGACAGATAGATAGATAGACAGACAGACAGACAGACAGACAGACAGACAGACAGACAGACAGACAGACAGATAG